TCATGTAATTTTAGTATGGTGCAGCTATGCCTGCAATACTAATAAACTTACTTCATTTGTATTAGTAGTCTTCATGTTGTTACATACCTATATCTAGACATTTAGGGTCGATTACTACTCTGGACTCCAGAGGCAAAAAGGAGGATTGGTCGTCCAATCACAACACTTAGGGGTCTTATCCAGTCTGACACTGGTCTACAAGGATTGGAACTTTTGTCTGCTATGAAAGACAGAAAGTACTGGCGACAAAACTTCACACGCTGCACCTCAGAAGAGGATGAGTAAAGAAGGAGAGAAGAAGACATTTACTTCCCTGTAGCTACAATTCGGTAGTGTTACAGATAAAGCGTGGATGGACAGAGCTAAATGTTGGTATAATTTCTTGTCATATTAATGACGTGTTGTTTCTCGTTGTGCTTCAGCAACCATGCGATTGACTGTGGACAGCAGAGGAGGTTAGTATGTCTAGACGATTCTTTCTTCCACTATTTTTACTTTCTACTTTACTACTTTTTGTGTCTGTGTGTTCAGGTCGTTCATTAGTAAGGAGCTTCCATATTTACTTGTCTATTTGACTTTATGGCTGATTTTGTTGTGTTGCATCCGCAGAGACAAGGATTGTCTTCGGCGAAACAGGGCCAGGTAGAGAGATCGAAACAGGTACGTTCTGCACAGGAAAAGACTGGCGGATTGAGTAAAATTTTAGAAAAAACTTTGTTCTTGAGGATTCCTGTACTAATGATGCTGTTTGCAATGTTGCAGGTATATCTGGTCCGGTTACATCTTCATCAGTCCGACCGGAAGGTAAGAAAATCTCTTGACATATTTGTTAAAGCTTTACGTTAATTGTTGTTATGAACCTATTGCTGAAATACAAGCATATCTTTTACTTCTTATAAAGACTAATTGGGTTATAAGGATATCTTGAGCATGTGCTCGGTCTCAATGCATGCTGTGTGTTGGAGTTGAATCGTGTGTCCCTTTCTCTACAGGTTCATACTCGTTCAACTTCCCACGATCGAGGTCCCCAGACAACTACGCCGAAGTCAGGAGAGATGACTACTTAAACCCGGAGTCCTTCACCATCTCCTTCCACATGAGAACACCGGCCAGAGATACCGGCACCATCTTCTCTTACGGCACACAACAACAGCCGAACGAGATCGGCTTTGTTGGGCAGGCCGGAAACCGAGGCTACACTTTCATGGTGGATAACCAGAGGGCCAATGTCGACATTCCGGAAGTTCTTGACGGCCAGTGGCACGTTGTGGCCATCACGTGGAGGAACTCAGACGGACAGTGGAGGGTGATGGTGGACGGGGAGGAGAGAGCTTCCGGATCCGGTCTGGCGCGAGGACACAGGATCCGTCCTGGCGGCACGTGGTACTTCGGACAAGACGTGAGCCAGGTAGGAGACCGGCCGAGGTTTGAGCGTAACCGGGAGTACGTCGGCGATCTAGCGGAGTTTCACGTGTACAACAGGGTCCTGTCGCCTGCGGAGATGCTGCAGCTGTACCGTCTGGAGGCGACAGGAGACGGGGTGAACTGGAGACGCGTGGACCTCCAGCCGCGCGGACAGGTGCAGCAGAGCCCGTACTCAGGTGAGGCAGGCACGCTCGCTGCAGACAGTGAGGTCGTGTGGCGTAAATGGTAGCGTCTTCGGCTCAGGACCAAGAGGTCGTGGGTTTGAATCCTACCGTGGCAGCGATCTTGTGCCCTTGGGAAAAGTTTACACGACTTTCCTCACTTCACTTTTGGGAGAAAGGAGTAGGGGTCCTTCCCGGGGGGGAGTGGTTCAAATCTTACAGTTTTTGTCTTATGCAATTTTTACAAAACTGGTATGTTACGTCTACTAATTTACGGCTAAACAAAGAAACGAACAAACAGGCCGATCCAAACTGCCCATCATAATTACGTATACCAGTTACACAATAATAGAATGGCAATTAACGGATTCGCAATAGAGAGAGTGGCTGCATGCCCGACGAATATTTGCATTTGTATGTTTTTCATGTTTTTCTGCGTAGTGTGATGGGTTTTTGTTCTTTATACAGTCGCAGTGCGTTTGACAGTGGACGGTAGAGGACGTAAGTAACGAGTATCGTTGTATTAAGAGAACAGAAATCCCCATTTCTGTTCTCTTAGTACAATGCAGTTAGAGAACAATGTACTTAAAGAACAACCTACAGCTTTGCAGCTAATCAAACCTGAATTTTATTGATTTTATATGGTACATCCCAACAGTTTCAACCAAGGCAATGCCACGAATCTGCTCTATTTCACGATGAATTTTTTAACATGATATAACTGACGGAACAGATCACTTCGTGTCTGGAACTATCTTGATACAGTAAAATAATGAGATAGAAGCGATTTTTTTTTCATTTCGAAATTACCGAAAGTAAAAGCAACACTTATCTCGCCGTATACAGAAAAATGTTAATAATTGTTTAATTGTGTTCTCCTACAGAACCTCGTGTGGAGCTCGGGGAGGCTGACATCTCTCCTGGGACAGGTTTGTGGTCCTCTGTACTTTGGTTTCTGGAGATGGGCAATAGGACATATACGAGCGAATACAATGAAAACATTTGCACGATTGAAATAGTAATATCTCCCTGTCCGAGAAGCACTATATTACACGGAGCTTTTTTGTCGTATCTAAGACCAATACAACTGGGAAAATCAACTGTAAAGACGGCCTGTATAATTAGAAACTGTTCATTTACCTGTACTAGACTTATCCAAACAAGCTTGTAGTACACTCGTCACTTCGACGATCTCGCCACCTGCATGACTGAACTTTGTGTTCTTCTACAGGAGTGAGACCGGGTACTGGTACCGATGGAGGCATCGTCACACCTACTGGTAAGTCATGGACTAGTCATAGACTTAATTGTCAATGAATCATAGTATTTAAAGGATTGCCACCAAGCATGCACAACAGGCAAAATTGTGCAATTGTGATTTGCACATGACATAACAGTGATTAAGTTACATGTCGTTTTACCAGGAATGTTCATGATGAGTTTCCCGGAGTCTCGCTCAACTGACAACTACGCCGAGCTGAGGAGCGACAGTCCCTTCAGTCCTGACTCCTTCACCATCTCCTTCCACATGAGAACACCGGCCAGAGATACCGGCACCGTCTTCTCTTATGGCACACAACAACAGCCGCACGAGATCGGCTTCATCGGAAAGAGGGACTCCCAAGGCTACACCTTTATTGTAGACAACGAAAAAGCTGACGTGAACATTCCACAAGTTCTGGACGGCCAGTGGCACGTTGTGGCCATCACGTGGAGGAACTCAGACGGACAGTGGAGGGTGATGGTGGACGGAGAGGAGAGAGCTTCCGGATCCGGTCTGGCCCGAGGGCACAGGATCCGTCCGGGCGGCACGTGGATTCTCGGCCAGGAGCAGAACACTGTCGGCTTCCTGCCGGGCTTCCAGCGGTACCGTGAGTACTCAGGAGACCTGGCGGAGTTCCACGTGCACAACAAGGTTCTGTCAGCCGAGGAGATGCGGCGGCTGTACACGCTGCAGTATCCCGGGGACGCCGTGAACTGGAGACGCGCGACTGTCACGCCGAAAGGACGCGTCTTGAGACAGCCTTACTCAGGTGAGTGATCCGAGGTAACAAGTCATGTAATTTTAGTATGGTGCAGCTATGCCTGCAATACTAATAAACTTACTTCATTTGTATTAGTAGTCTTCATGTTGTTACATACCTATATCTAGACATTTAGGGTCGATTACTACTCTGGACTCCAGAGGCAAAAAGGAGGATTGGTCGTCCAATCACAACACTTAGGGGTCTTATCCAGTCTGACACTGGTCTACAAGGATTGGAACTTTTGTCTGCTATGAAAGACAGAAAGTACTGGCGACAAAACTTCACACGCTGCACCTCAGAAGAGGATGAGTAAAGAAGGAGAGAAGAAGACATTTACTTCCCTGTAGCTACAATTCGGTAGTGTTACAGATAAAGCGTGGATGGACAGAGCTAAATGTTGGTGTAATTTCTTGTCATATTTATGACGTGTTGTTTCTCGTTGTGCTTCAGCAACCATGCGATTGACTGTAGACAGCAGAGGGGGTTAGTATGTCTAGATGATTCTTTCTTGCATTATTTTTTTTTATTTTCTACTTTACTACTTTTTGTGTCTGTGTGTTCAGGTCGTTCATTAGTAAGGAGCTTCCATATTTACTTGTCTATTTGACTTTATGGCTGATTTTGTTGTGTTGCATCCGCAGAGACAAGGATTGTCTTCGGCGAAACAGGGCCAGGTAGAGAGATCGAAACAGGTACGTTCTGCACAGGAAAAGACTGGCGGATTGAGTAAAATTTTAGAAAAAACTTTGTTCTTGAAGATTCCTGTACTAATGATGCTGTTTGCAATGTTGCAGGTATATCTGGTCCGGTTATATCTTCATCAGTCCGACCGGAAGGTAAGAAAATCTCTTGACATATTTGTTAAAGCTTTACGTTAATTGTTGTTATGAACCTATTGCTGAAATACAAGCATATCTTTTACTTCTTATAAAGACTAATTGGGTTATAAGGATATCTTGAGCATGTGCTCGGTCTCAATGCATGCTGTGTGTTGGAGTTGAATCGTGTGTCCCTTTCTCTACAGGTTCATACTCGTTCAACTTCCCACGATCGAGGTCCCCAGACAACTACGCCGAAGTCAGGAGAGATGACTACTTAAACCCGGAGTCCTTCACCATCTCCTTCCACATGAGAACACCGGCCAGAGATACCGGCACCATCTTCTCTTACGGCACACAACAACAGCCGAACGAGATCGGCTTTGTTGGGCAGGCCGGAAACCGAGGCTACACTTTCATGGTGGATAACCAGAGGGCCAATGTCGACATTCCGGAAGTTCTTGACGGCCAGTGGCACGTTGTGGCCATCACGTGGAGGAACTCAGACGGACAGTGGAGGGTGATGGTGGACGGGGAGGAGAGAGCTTCCGGATCCGGTCTGGCGCGAGGGCACAGGATCCGTCCGGGCGGCACGTGGTACTTCGGACAAGACGTGAGCCAGGTAGGAGACCGGCCGAGGTTTGAGCGAAGCCGGGGGTATGAAGGAGACATTGCGGAGTTCCACGTGCATAACAGGGTACTGTCGGGCGAGGACATGCGCCAGTTATACACTTTCCAGAACCCTGGAGATTTCCTGAACTGGAGATACGCGACTATCACACCAAGAGGACAAGTACAGCGGTCTCCTTATGCCGGTAAGACACGTAGTTCCGACACCCTTGCAAGCAGCGTCATTCATGTACACCTTACAGTATACAAGGACTCACTGCATATTATGCACAGTTCAGATTATGTTGCTTCCTTGTGGATGTTTTTATATGACAAGAACTGCATATTTGTAACTTATGTAAGTTAATGAAAGTGTTGTTAATTGAAACATACTAAGTTACAAAGGACGACAAATGGTTTATCTTTCTTTTGCAGGCACATTCCGTGTAGACATTGACAGCAGTGGAGGTAGGATTATGTTTAATGTGAAGCTTGATTTTACTGCAGACTGTAATTTGCACAAGAAGATAAATGGGTAGAGAGGTTCAAATCAACCATTCAACGTGGAATTTATTATCTGTTATCCCAAAGTAGACCAGAGGGCTGGTCGAAAATTCGGTGCCTTCTTTTGGAAAGTGGTTGTCAACCATTTTACACTAAAGCATAATCAGCTTAGTGTTATCCAGTGTCTTAACGTTAATTAAAAGACCTGTTATTCGGTTGTGTCCATCAAACATTGACGCGATACCTCCTGCCCACGCCTACCCAGGTGTCCGTCTGGTCTTCTTGGCTGCACCTGAGGTCCGACCCGGAAGTGAAGTTGGGGCGGTGCCAGGTATGACGTAGCCTGATCCTTTCTCTACCAAATATTTGGCTTGATGATAATGTTACCATAACAGCTAAATGTCTGTAAAGTGCAATGTGCACATTTGGCATAAACTTGATTTGAAGATATGGTGGTAGGTCCAACATGTAGTTCAAAAGGTGCCCAACCGAAATGGCTTGCATTACTCCAATATTTTGTTCTATAAAGCAAATGTCATCACATGAGGTTGTCTTTTCACAGGTGCTACAACTGGATCGGCGGGTGATGTAATCAGACCAGAGGGTACGTATGGATTTTTTGTAAAATTTGTTTTTAGTTTGCTTTGCGATAACTATGTCAAATCCGGATGTTCCGCTTCCATTCTGAACATTTGGTGTAACATGTACCTTAAGACACAGAACCTGACGTATTTGCAACAAGAGGCTAACGCTATGAATTTACCGCTCTCAATTAGTCGCCCTTAAGCACAGACGGGGGACGATATAGGCTTCCCAACACGTTTGCCATACAACTTCGGCTAGATACCCATGTCGTGTCGGAAGAAGACTGTGGGTCATTTTACTTGAAGAAGGCTGTAGAAGCAATTGAGAGACGACTAAATCCTACTTTTTATTGTCTATGAAGACAAGCTCAGTATTTCAGTTAACAAAGGAATCAATTTCTTTCCAGGCATGTACCTATTGAACTTCCCACGGCCACGATCCCCCGAAAACTACGCCGAGGTAAGAGGCGAAAATTCCTTCAACCCGGAGTCCTTCACCATCTCCTTCCACATGAGAACACCGGCCAGAGATACCGGCACCATCTTCTCTTACGGCACACAGCAACAGCCGCACGAGATCGGCTTTGCTGGGCAGTCCGGAAACCGAGGCTACACTTTCATGGTGGATAACCAGAGGGCCAATGTCGACATTCCGGAAGTTCTGGACGGCCAGTGGCACGTTGTTACCATAACATGGAGGAACACAGACGGACTGTGGAGGGTGATGGTGGACGGGGAAGAAAAAGCTTCCGGATCCGGTCTGGCGCGAGGGCACAGGATCCGTCCGGGCGGCACCTGGTACTTCGGACAAGACGTCAGGTCGGTTGGCCCCCGTCCGAGGTTTGAGCGTAACCGGGAGTACGTAGGAGACTTGGCAGAGTTCCAGGTTTATACCAAGGTCTTGTCTCCGGAAGAGATGCTTCAGCTGTACACGATGCAGTACTCCGGAGATGCTGTGAACTGGAGACGCGCGACCATCTCACCCAGGGGACGCGTCCAGCGGTCGCCTTACGGAGGTAGGACATGTTCTGTGGCGTAATTTTCCATGTGGTCCAAGGACTAGAACTTAGAGGAAACTGAGAGGGGAGCCACCACAATACATCGAACGATGTAGGGAGGATAACTAATGAGAGTAGTTTACATGTGTGTTATCAGAAGAAAAGTTAATTTTATGTTTTCAACTTATGATTAAGTTGGGCTTTACTTGTATTTTTCTTACGCAAAGCACACTGTACATGTCTACTAGATGTATTTTAACATCGCTGATTGGGAGGGGCATATTTATCATGTGTGTTATCGTTATGACCATTTGCCTTGGTCATATTTATAATTATAACGTCATTTTCACAGGAACTTTCCGGATAGACGTGGACAGCAGGGGAGGTAATGCTCTTTCAATAAATGTTTGTTATGTCATGTTTCGCTATGTTAAATACCTCCTTTGTTGGTTCAGTAACAATATCAGCAACATTGTTTGCTGTAGAGATAGTCTTGTTGCATATTTGTGACGTTAACCCTTTATCTCCTTTATTTCTTTTCTTTATACCTGATATCCCTCATCTAGTTTCCCGTGTGGTCTTCGGTCCTTCGACAGAGGTTCGACCCGGAAGTGAAATCCAACCGGCAGCAGGTAGAGTGTCTAGCTTACCAGATCAGTTTGCTGCTGTAGTTCGTTCAGTGCCCAGAAGTGGTCCATGTGGCCTTAAACTGAACAAACTCGTTAAAAAAGGGTGACTTTTTCGATAATGACAGTATTCTGTGTCTTAGATGTGAATTTCAAGTACACATTTTGTGAAATCATGTTGTCGACTATTTGTAAAATAGTTATACGCTAATTTGCTCGACGACGGCTTGGCACAGACTTCGTACATTGGTTTTTAATTCAGTTTTTAACTGCAAGAAACCAAGAATAAAGACATATTGTATCGTGTATGATATAACATAGATAGCGCACAAAAGTACTAGTTCCGTTTTGCCCCCAGGGTCGTCGTACATCCTGAAGTTCCCCTCCCCTCGCTCCACGGCAAACTACGCCAACATCCGCGAGAACATCCCGTTTTCCGCGCGAGGCTTCACCCTGTCCTGGCACATGCGCACCGACTCCAAACAGCCCGGCACCATCGTGTCCTACGCCACGTCACAGGAGGACGACGAGGTCGAGTTCTACGGAGACTCAGGGTCAAGGTCGGTCAAAAAGCTTGTTTATGCCTTTTTTATACTCTATATATATCTATAGATATTACCCCATGCCATTCGGTCAAAAAGCTACACAGATGTCTTTACAGCCGACATTGCCATAATGCAGTTGTACTCCCTGCCCCAATCTCTCCCTTCCTCAATTCGAGAAGATAGCGATATTTCAGAAGACATTTTAAAATGTTGTTCGTAGACGTCATCAATGTTTGCAGTATATAATAACATAGCCTTCGGTCAATATTAGCCTTCACTGTCTAGAAGACACTCAAAAACTACTAAGGTCACATGTCCACAAAACCTACTACAAAAAATCATTGAAAACCTCTTTGAGCCACTGCCTCAAAATACGTTAAACCCGTGTAATGAGGGTAGAAACAGTTAAATCCAATCTATACGTTTCTGTACCATTTTACGTTTAACTTATCATATTATTTGCGTTGCTTTGCAATTAGCCTTCAGAAATGAGTTTACAAATAGGTTTGATTAGTAATGACCTGTACACTGTACTAATTGTGACAATGCTCAATAAAATCCGTATTCTTTATAGTCATTAATTTATTCCTCTCTTGATCCCAGGAACTTCCGGTTGCTGGTGAACGGCGAGCAGGCTGACGTCAGCATCCCGGAAGTGCTGGACGGGGCGTGGCACATGGTGACGGTCACGTGGCAGAACAAGAACGGCGAGTGGAACGTGTTCGTGGACGGGCAGCTCAAGGCGACGGGCAACGGGCTGGCTGCCGGACACACCATCAGACCTGGAGGTACGTTTTACTAGTCTCTAGCAGACTACAAACTACGCTGGCTATATGTAGGAGAATATTTGCCAGGGGAGTTTTGACCGCCTTGAGGTATGACTGGTCTGGCGGTACGTACAGTTACAAAGTGTGGTCCAAAGTTTAGGCATACGAACATAAGGAAGATGCGAAGTTAGAATTTAGGCAATCACTTATATCTGTATGAGCGTGTATTTAACATGTTTCAAATAGACTTACCAAGTAAGCTGAAGGGGCACGTTGTAATCCCCGGTTCCTCTTTCTGTACTGATTCGAAACGAAGTAGGCAAATGGCATTAACAACCTTAATTATGGAAATTATCGGTTTAACCAATGAGAGGGTGGCAGGATGCCCAAATAGTTCTCATTTTGCATTTCTATGTTTTCACAGAGGTTTAACACATATGCAAATCAACTAACCGTCACCCGATTTTTGCCTAGAACTCCTGTCCCTGACGTCCTCTCATGGCGATCGCTCGTATTTTGAACAGTGCTGATTTGAACCGATGTTTTTCTTTATAATATCTACACTGTTACAGGTACAAGAACGTCCTCGTAGCTGTGGAAGTTCTAGGTTTTTGTAGTCTAGAGCCTCCCGCCTGGGAAAGATGGGTGTAAAGTTGATGTTGATGTTATTCCTACTTACACTGTTACAGGTACATGGGTGCTGGGCCAGGACCAGGACACGGTGGGGAACGCGTTCCAGGCTACCGAGGCGTACACAGGCGACCTGTCGGAGCTGTACGTGTTCGACATGGTTTAGACTGAATTGTGGATGCATATACAACAAATTTAACTGTCATTGTCACCGTTACAGGTACATGGGTTCTCGGCCAGGACCAGGACACGGTGGGGAACGCGTTCCAGGCTACCGAGGCTTACACAGGCGACCTGTCGGAGCTGTACGTGTTCGACATGGTGCTTCCCCAGGAGGACATGAACAAGCTGGCCGCCGGAACATTCTTCGGGAACGTCATCAACTGGCGCACGGCTCAGGTGTACCCGCGGGGCGGCGTCAGGAAGACACAGTGTGAGTACTGATTTGGTGGATTTCAACCTTCACAATGTTTTCTTTGACAGAGTAGGCTTAAAACTCACGAAAAGACAGTCGGTGAAGGTTAGAAATCCAGGTAATAAGATATGCCAAAAGACATGATTTTGGAACTGTCGTTTGGTGTATCTTAATACCTGGATGTCTAACATTCGCCGACGTATACCTAAAACTGTGCGAGCGGTCGCTTTTTATTTTGTTTACATCATATACATGCAAATTATTTGAAGACATGTGCAAATGTCAGGAAGACCCAGTGTGAGTACAAATTTGTTTATTTGAAAGTTCTCCATCAGTGAGTAAAACTATGTACAATATATACTACTGTAACAGAAGTCTTCCTGGAGTCATGTATGAAACCTGTAACACATAACAGTCGACAGGACGTTTTCTTTGACAGAGTAAGCGTAAAACACGAAGCGTTCGCAGTTTTTGTTTACATCATATACATGCAAATTTATGAATACATGTGCAATCTTCATTGCAATAGGGATATTGTCTACTAGTACTTTTAGATTTCCTTATGCTCCCATTTCCTATCTCATTTCGTATCTCATAATTTACTGGAGAAAGAATATAAGGAACATCAGACCTTTTACGGTACCTAACCTTACCAACTAATTTACATGACAATTGTAAACATTATGTTTGATTCCGTGACGGCATTTCCAGTATACTTTAACTAAGGACTGTATAATGTCCTTGGTATAACTTGCTCCTGTTGTGACTATGGGGTGCCTTTCTACTGATTTTGTAAACTTGTTTCTGACATCAGCCGCCCCCAGGGTTGTCTTCGGAACAGGACCGACCCCCGGCAGAGGTACGCACTCAAAACAAAACGTGCAGCAAACTATCGGTAGCTTTTGTCCATAACAACAAGCTGATATCACGTCACTGCATATATTGCACTGTACATTGCACTGTATCATTGTTACAGTACCGTATGTGGCACTTGTTAATCGCAGACGCAAAAAATGTTGTTGGACTGTGTAGAGCTAGATCTGTATCCGTGTAAAATAACGTCTGTGCAAGTAGTCATCATTGTAAAACACACGTAATCTACGTTCTAAGACAACAGATAAGTTTCTACGTGTTTTTGACGGTCCATATTACAGCCTTCCTCCGGTTAGAATGGCCAATCGCTGGTCATATGATGCAGCTGTAAATTCGGAACGTTTGTTGTTTTAGAACGCAGTTTAGCTCTAGTTCTTGTGAGTAAGAACACCGCTGAATATTATGAATGCACACTCGCACAACAACAGAGACTTACTAACGTCGTCAACTTGACCAGGCTATATCGGCACTGGTATCGGGACTGGTGGTATCAGCCCTGGTATCGGCACGGGTATCAGCCCGGGTATCACTACCGGTATCAGCCCGGGTATCACCACTGGTATCGGCCCTGGTATCAGCACTGGTATCCTACTCGTACCAGTGCAAATTGGTGGTGGAAGAGTACACATAGGACCGGGACAAGGTACTGTGTTACTTCGGCAATGTTTGCTTGCCAGACGACTGACGGACTGACTGGACGCTTTGGTGCTTTACACTGTTAGCCTCTACCAGGCTTCGGGAGGCGGTTGGAAAGAGTAGAAATCGGCCACATACAGAGATAACATGCCAAGGGAGTCGGTCTGCTGAAGAGAGCAGTTTGGGTGCGGCAAACTGTTCTCTCCAGCAGGCCAACTTCCCCGGCATGTTATCTCTGTCTATTTGGCCGATTTCTACTACTTCCAGCCGCGCCTCCCGAAGCCTGGTAGAGGCTACTTTACTGTAGTAATCACTGGCAGTTGTCGTGTACAAGCTTCTGTCATAGGCATGTGATTGCACAATGCACTGATTGCACAATGCAACTAATAAACATTCGAGCTTTTATGGTAGCTGTCAAAGATGTTGGTAGTTAGTGCTTTATATGTTGTAAATATTCATGTGTTTCTTGATACACTTGCGTTCTATGAATATTTGAAAACGTACATAGAAAGCAACTGTACTTTCTTGACCATTTTGGAACAAAACAGCATATCTTCCCTAGGTCATGAACTGGTCCTCTTGCAATATCTTTAGCATGAAGTTGTTTTATCCCCATGTATTGTTGCCCATTTACCATTGCATATTGTGATGATTTTCATTATTTTGCGATTGTTACGATTGTGACTTGTTCTGAACTGATTAACGACCTAACGTGACAAATTGACCACCTGACAGGGCCTTTCGATAGAGACGGCACTACCACAGGGGAGACTGACGGAGACGAACCCGGACGTACACTGGCTGTGCAAGGTGGTTTGACCTATTCCACAGACACGTTTGCTAGTATACTAGACTAAAAAACAGAACCAGCATTTGGGCCCGCGCTGGAATAAGATAACGTGTTACCAGTTCTGATAATGTGACTTATATAGTTGAAGTGGTAAGCTTGTAGCGCGGTCAACGACATAAACCCACAAAGACAACTAAGCGATTTTGCGGCAAAAGGCAAGTATCGTCACCCCAATGGCTGATAGATGGGGATGAGGCACCAAGTGAAGAAACGATAACTATCATTGTTACCATTCACCCTAAAGCTATCGCTACTGTTACTGGTGTTCATACACTTTTCGCTTTGCTAGATTGGGATGGGGGCACCAAACACAGAAACGGTAACGACTGCGTACCTTTCAAATTATCGCTACTGTTAACAGTTGTTGTTCCTCCGTCGTTCTCGACTATAACCAATGACACCACATCGGCTTCTGTGTGTCCGGCTGTGGCTCACCAGTCCTATATGGGCTTTAATTGCTCTGCCACATCGCTACTGTATGTAGTATTAATAATAATGATAAATTAAATAATAACCTTTATTTTACATTCATACTAAGTACAGGTGAACAGATGAAGGTAATATACATGTTCGTAGTACAAACAGCTCTAAAACTACACTAATACAGAGATTCGGCTTCTTCTCGTTTCTTTGTGATGGTGTGATAGGTTTGTTTAATGCAGGATGATCGAAATAGAATGTGCGTTTTAATCCAGGGCCGGTGCAACTGAGCTTCCCGTCGCCGGCTTCCACCGACAACTACGCTGTGATCGAGGGCGTGGGACCTCAGTCCGGCAGTATGGACGCCTTCACGGTGTCCTTCCACATGCGGACGGACGAACCGACCACGGGAACCGTTTTCTCGTACGCCACGCCGGACCAGCCGCACCAGCTGGCCTTCTACGGGGACAACTCTCTCAGGTAGTCTACTGCCCTATGTATCACTCCATCGTGTAACTCTCCCTGGTAAACTCTCCAGGCTCCTAGGACACACCTTTAATTTTTACTAGCCTGGGTACCACCCTGTTTAGTTTACGTTCGCTCCCACAACTGGTAGCTAACCAGTATGGTACCCAGTCCACAAGTGTACAACTCTGTCGGACAACGCTTAAGTTTTCCTTTCCTTTATTTTGGATTCGTTTCTCCTTAATATGTTCAAGTTAAAATAAGTCTTAGCTACTTGAGTGCGTTACCATTTGTGTTGTACTATTGTCCTTAATGTGTGAACATTTTTTAAAACTCCCTCAGGTACCACCGCTTCATCGTCAACAACGAGCGCACGGACATCACTGTTCCCGACCTCATGGACGGAGAGTGGCATTCAGTACTCCTCAGGTAGGGATGTCTTGGCATTTACAGTCACTGTGTATTTCTACGTTAAATTAACGTCTGATGACAGGTCTCGAATCAGGGACCTCTTGGTTCCGAGTCGAGCACTGCCGTTACGCCACACGATCCAACAAAGTTAATTTTTTACTTGTTGTCCCGTGCGGAACAGGTGGGAGCGGACCCAGGCTGGCTGGGCTGGCCACGGGTCAAAGGTAGCTTTAAGTCTGTATCGTCTTCCGTCACTAACGTTAATGCTTACAACAGGTGGGAACGTACCAGGGGGTCCTGGAAGGTTTACGTGGACGGCGTACAGCGGGCGCGCGGGGCCGGGCTGGCCACGGGACACTACGTGCCGCACGGGGGAACCTACGTCCTGGGACAAGACCAGGACAGGCAGGGCGGAGGATTCGATGCCAGTCAGGTGGGCATGTGGAATTTATGTTTCCCTTGCTGAATATGGTATTTTATTTGTAGCATGTAAGACTAAGAACTTTTCAAGAGGATCTCAAAAGGGCAAACATAACCTGGGAAGAGGCTGAGGAAGCAGCAGCCACTAGACCCAGATGGAAGCTTGCTGCCCAATGTGCCCTTAGGCACAGGGGGACCTAGGGTCTAAGGCAAGGTAAGAATGTAAGCCTAGAATGTTTCTACCTTTGGAGAGTAACCCTGACGTGTACGTACATGTGCACGTAGCCGAATTCAGCAGGAGATATTGTCCAATTGAAACAGTCTAGCAGCTCGCACAACACAAGGAACTGCCTTGAGCCAGGACTTAAACATACAGCCACACAGTCATAGTGCACATTCACAATCATAAGCAAGCAGTGGTATAATTCCGAGCCTTACCCCTTGCCTTCCCTCCTGTAGGCGTACGTGGGAGACTTAGCGGAGTTCCACCTCTGGGACAACGAGCTGGACGACTCCCGCGACATCCAGCGCGTCCAGGACCGGACCCTTTACGGCAACGTCATCAACTGGCGAGACGTCGACGTGCAGACCTTCGGCAGCGTCGACACAACGCCATACCTCATAGGTGCGAGCGATGTCGCTATGTCTGGACACGGCCATCCACTCATGCCACATTCCTAGAATTTAGAATTTTTAATGTTGAATAAGCGAATTTTAACGTTGTATGCTGATTAATGTCAACTGTTAAATATAATGTATAAAGGAATACAGTCTATTTGGACATTTTCTACTCTTTCCAGTCGCTTCAGAAGCCTGGTAGAGTCTACTGTCCATGCCATGTCATGTAATATGTAGTTTGAATACTTTTGGAAGAGTTGTGGTCGCATGTACATGTACATGTACATGTACACATCTAAAGGAGGTAAACTATTTAACCTATAGATGTGTTATTTTCTGTCCCCTTACTTACAAATTCCATCTCGTTTGATTTCCAGAAATCTCAGAAACAAGACCTGACGGAGCGAGACCCACGACTGAAGAAGGTAATGGTGTACTTCGCTAAGAATCTTCCACACTGGTAACGTTACCAGTTCATAATTGTGAGATATTAGTAATTCGATACTAATTTTACAATTAATTTGACAATGAGTTGTTAAAGCGTAATGTACTGATAAAGTGATATGTGTGCATAACGTCCTAACTTACGTCACTGACCCACCAGACTCAAGGCTGACACCGGGAAGGCCTAGACCAGGGGAAGAGCGACCAGGTAATAAAACCATTCTGTAATAATTGTGAATTAAAAGACAACCGTTAATTGTGAAATTATAGCAGTTCTATTACATAGTAATTAACAAATCATAATCAAAAGCCTTTCTAGCGGTTTGGTGTGATAATGCATTGTTTTCATATACTAAAGGCAGATATCTATCCCTGATACCTACTACATGTAGTTAAATAGACCTAACCTGTTACTGACCCGCCAGGCACCGGACTTACACCTGAGAGACCAAGACCATCCGGCGGCGAGCGACCAGGTATTTTCGTCATTAATATAAAGAATTTTATAGCCTATAACATTAGCCTGGTACCATCTGGACTTTCGCTCCTCAACGCTCGAAAAAATCCCAGTAAATGAATGCCAGCGGTCCCAGACGTGATTTTTTCGAGCGTTGCCGAGCGAAAATCCGGATGGTACCCAGGCTACTATAACATCGTTTGTAGCCGTTTTTGTGATTACTATGGTTTTAATGGACGCTAACATTAGTGTCTGGGACATGTACTATTAGATGAGATCTGACCCTACTTACTTTACTGACCTGTCAGACCCTGGACGTGAGGAGGAGAGACCCAGGCCACATGAGGGATCCGGACAGGACCCAGGTACCGCCAACATTTCTGGAATTAGTTACAAAAAATGGCTTAAGTTTCATTTTGTGACTGTTCATTTCTTTTTTTATATGACAGTTTAACCTGCCTTAAAAGGGAAAAAAAAACTTCGCACTTATGATGACAGTAGAATTATGTGCATAAATGTGTGTAGGGAGAGTCCTTCCCGCGCCACGCGGTGCATAGATAGGTGCCTATCTCCGGTTGAGTAGCCCTCGGGCCACACAGTAGCGCAATCACTACAGCAGGGGGCTAGTCCACTGGTAGAGATGTGTGTTTCCCCAAATGCTGAGTGCTAAGCAGAGAAAGCAGCGTGTACCATTTGTAAGTCGTTGGTCTGACTCGGTCGGGGATCAAACTCACGACCTACAGAATGCAAGGCGAACCCTCTACCCAATTGGCCACTGCACCGGTCATAACTACGTTGTTGCGTCTTTGTATTCCCAGAATCGTTCTCCTTTAAATTCCCTGACCCGCCGTCCAAGTATAACTGGGTGGAGGTCCGCGACCCGAAGCGGCTGAGCACCCAGGACTTCACCATCGCCTGGCACATGCGCACGGACGGCCCGGGCACAGGCACCGTGTTCTCCTACGCCACCGAGCAGCAGGACAACGAGATCGAGTTCTACGGAGACTCCACCGACAAGTTCTTCACCTTCCGCGTCAACGACTACCTAGCCGCCGTCAACGGAGATACCACCCTGACGGACGGGGGCTGGCACATGGTGGTCTTAAGGTAATGTTGCACAATCGTTTTGTTTCTTCTTCATCTTCTTCTTCTCCAATCAAATAAGGTCAATGACCTGAACCAGAGGCCTGTCACCATAATAAATGATATTGGGTTGCATAATTTTGCAAGTGCCATGTAGAACCTACTTAAAGAGGGGCTGCATTGTCACCATTAAGATGAATGACTCTCAGTAAGACTAAATTGAAATAGAACAGCATTTGTTTGGCTAAACCATGTGAAGGTTGCATTGCCATCAAATCCACAATAATCGTGTACAGCAGTGTGCTCGTTTTCTCAAAGAGGACAACAAAAAGGTACATGTTTCTTTTATTTCTTGTGTACAGGTGGCAGAGCAGTCCGTACGGTACGTGGCAGGTGTACGTGGACGGGAAGAAGGCGCTAGAAGGGAACGGCCTGGCGCCGGGACACCGGATCAGGGACGGAGGCACCTGGATTCTGGGACAGGACCAGTCCTTCCCCGGAGGAGGCTTCGAGCAAAGAAAGGCAAGTTCTCTAAGAAAAACTTCACATATCTCTCATATCTTAGTAAATGCATATATCCAGGCATCGCCAGGGCTCCTCTCACCCGATGGTTTATTCGGCGTTTTGTTTTATATGCCAACATTTATTACAAGACATGGCGACGGCACATTCATGTTTTTTTAACTTATATTCATGCCGCAACCAAAGTAGACAGACGTATGAACGAAAAACAGACATACTCCTTTTCACCTAAGTCAAATGAGGAAATTCGTGTTAAGTGCCGTGCCAAGGGCACAAGATCGTTGGCATGGCAGGGTTCGAACCTCTTGGATTCGAGACGAACTCTACCATTAAGCCACATGACCCCACATTGCGTTAACTTATTTTTTTCTCTACACCAGTCCTACGCCGGAGACATTGCGGAGTTCTACGTGTGGGACTACAGCGTGAGCGACAATCAGCTGACAGACATTTTCGACGGGAGGCTGAGAGGAAACATCATCGACTGGAGAAGGGCCAATCTTCACCGCGTGGGAGACGCGGAGAGGTTTCCTTACCTCATCACAGGTGCTTAAAGTTAAATCTTCTGGTCCAACACAAAAAGTTCTCTCACCTAATCTCCAAGCAGATCATACGATGGCAAGGCAGTATCCATTGGCCAGAGGAGTGTCCATTAGCCACCGAAGATCTGCCTGCACTCGCACAGGGAGGAGCACTTCCTTTCAAAAATGGTGTTGCTGCCCCTCCTTGTGCCCCTATTAACAGCAATTGAAAAACTGGCCACGCTAAGGTTTTTACAAGCGGTTTATAGCTTGAATCTGGGACAAATTCAGTCACCCGCGCACATCTCAGTGGGAGTTCCCCCCCTAACTGAATCAGATACAATTCTGTATGCTGGCACTGTGATGCTTTCTGAAACATGGAAATGGATACTTATGGTTAAAATTTAAAACCCCATGCCAGACATTACAAAACACAAGGTGAACCTTCTCCTCCGGATCCATTGTTTAAACTGCCCAATACATGTATAACAGTTGGTGTTGTGACCCATAGACAGACTTCCTGTAACGGCCAACCATGCAGCCCCACAAGGAGGACAATAGCCTTGCCCGGTGGTTAGGGCAATAAACTACTTGGCAAACACATTCTGAGTAGGCAACAACTAGGTGTTAATAGCCTTTGACGTTTCGACTGCAGGCAGATCTTCGGTGGCTAATGGACACTCCTCTGGCCAATGGATACTGCCTTGCCACCGTATGATCTGCTTGGAGATTACTCTCACCTAAAGCTTGCGACCAGTCACTCTGGTCTTCCAGAGTAGACTGACCCAGTGAAGCTTGTCACGTGGCTTCTTTGACGTCAACACTGGGTCAAAGGTATCTTGTAGACGATGTTGGCCCCGTCGCGGTTAATGAAGGGTGATGGGCCCTGATGTATATGACTTCATCACATGTGCGTCAGGTGTAGAAACGTTCATTCGATATAAGTTAAAGGAGCCAGTCCTATATCCTGCTTGAAGTTAAGTATCTAAAAGTAGTTAATCCAGTTTGAGTTGAAAGTAGAAAAATGCTGCCTTGAAAATCACAGTTGATTCAGAATGTCATGTTAATTCGGACATTGTTTCGCCGTTCTCAGGGAGTTCTGCTATTGCCACTAGTCGTGTAAAATGTTTCTTGTGAAAAATGTAAATATTGTACCGGAGACAAATTAATTCAGTTCCTGTTTGGAACGAAGGTCTCATCACTAAGTCCCCGTGTGTCGCTGACTGAAATGGTATTCCTTGCTTTCAGTCACAACATATGTTGAAGAAGCCGACCCGTTGTATCCAGGTAAAATTCTATTCTTCAATGTCTTACTTAACGTTCATTCATATCACTAAAATCTCTGTTTCTTTTGTCGTGGCCATCATTGAATACTAACTTGACACATATTTCATGTACTATCATTGTATGTTTATTTTTGTAACATTAGCCACCCTTAGCTCCAATGATCGCATACCTTGTACACGTATTTCGTTTCTACATTGACTAGACTCGATGACTGTTCTGGTATGTTTTCATAAGAAGTGTTGATTTTGTTACTCACCATCACACTCTCATTATTGTCACACACTGTAGGACCGGTAGTTTCCCCCGATAGACTAAGACCTGTAACGAGTAGCCCCCTCGTACCGGACGGGTCAGGAGTTGGGCCTGACGACACAGGGAGACGACCGCCGGTTCACACAATACCCGCCCCACCTACAGACGGACGAATTGACACTGACGAGGATAGCCCCTTTGGTAATGTTATACCTGGAGCCATACCAGATAGGGTAGCCCCAGGGGGGAGACCACACCGCCCGAGACCTGTAGGTAGAACAACGGTTGCGCCAGACGAGTCTGATCCTGACAGGATAGCTGTACTTCCAGGTAGAGGAGTTACCCGCGATAGAACCACCCCAGCACCAGACGGGGTTGGGAGGCCAGACTACAGGCCTGTAGACCCTTCGGAACCGGACAGGCCAGGATACAGGCCAGACGACCCGGATAGAAGACCTGATGTGCCAGGCTACAGGCCCATAGACCCTTCTAGACCTGACAGGCCAGGATACAGGCCAGAAGACCCGGATAGACCTGATGTGCCAGGCTACAGGCCCGTAGACCCATCGAGACCCGACAGGCCAGGTTACAGGCCAGGAGACCCTGATAGAAGACCCGATGGGCCAGAATCCAGGCCAGAAGACAGAGATAGGTACGGCAGGCCCACGGAAACACCAGACAGGCCTTGGTACAGAACTACAGTGGCACCAGATATGTATGGAAAGCCTCGGTACAAAACTACTGAGGCTCCAGATGGAGCGTATAGACCTCGTCCTGGGCCCACAGAAGCACCAGATGGTTCTGAACCTGATAGGCACGCTGTACTTCCGGGTAGCGGTATTCGCCGCGATAGGACAACTCCATCACCGGACGAGGAGCGTGAGAGGCCTGACAGACCGCGGCATTGGCCCACGGAAAGACCAGAAGTGGACAGGCTCCAACACAGAACTATGGAGACACCAGATATGTACGAGACACCAACACCGGCACCAGGTAGACCCTACAGACCTCGTCCCAGGCCTACAGAAGCACCGGACGGTTCGGGACCTGGTAGGCACGCTGTACTTCCAGGCAGCGGCATTTCCCGATATAGAACAACCCCAGCACCGGACGGTGTGGATGCGGGTAGCCCTGACAGGCCTGGCTTCCGGCCAGACGACCTGGACGGACCAGAAGATGGTAGGCCCCGCCACAGACCCACAGAAGCACCGGATAGAGCTGAAGGACGTGAAGACCTGGGAGGTGAAGGAGCTGAGGGACCAGACAGAGAGGATAGACCCCGACATAGACCCACCGAGGCACCGCGTTGGCCTTACAGACCAGGGATGGACAGACAAACAGAAGCCCCAGATGTTGGTCGACCCCACTACAGACCTACAGAGGAAGAAGAGAGACCAGGTATGCAAATACTGCATGTTAGAACACTGCAGAAATGAAGTGTTCAGAACAGGAAGTTAATGCCAGGTGGAGAAGCTGTTACCATCAGGTAAGAAATTGGTCATCCAAGACGAACGGCAAAGGAAAACCCGGAAGCTGAAGCATGGGTTGGTGAAAGCTACGCTTGCTGCTTCAGCCATGTAGATGCCACGCGCAGCCGTGTTGTCAGCAGACGCTTGGGCTGATGAGGCTGCCTATCATACCCGATCACTGATTTATGATTCCTGCGCTTGTCGATGCCAGCCTTCGCTTTGCCTTAAGTGTGCTTGCTCCTATGTCGCTTTGCCGCTTTCAGGATTAAGGTAGAGCTCTTGCCTCGTTGCTTATGAAGTGCAGCCAGCAACTTTCCTATATGCGGGCCCTTGTTATTGGTGTTATTGGCGTCTGCTCACACTGCAGACAGAAATTATAGAACAACGTCCTGGAGAATATGTTTGTTTTTCAAATTGCTTCAATTTCAAGGATAGGCGATGGAAATGTCTCTTTACAGAAGAAAATGGTGACCTTGCTTGGCAAGCTTCACACACCAGTTGCTTTGAATGGGCGATAGTTTAGACACAGCTTGTGATGATTCAGACATGAACAACTACTTACGGACGTACTGCAGATAGCATGCCTCTTAGTTTTAGTACACAATCACGCATTTACCTAACACTATTTATTGCATTTACACATGCCTTGCTTACAACCCTAACCAATTGCATTGCCATTGCTCTGGTGATATGTCTAGCGAGTCACAACATAACAGCTAATGAAGAATATGGTGTGTGTATTATACTAGTACATAGCCTTTGTTTCTTTGTATATTAAGATTTGAACATGACATAGTCAGCTTGGATGTATGTTGTTATACAATATTAAGCAGCATTTGAACCTGAAAGGTAAGTGGGGAATGGCATGCGATGATGTTCATATGTTGTGTACTTCATTGACCATCTTCCACATGGCACCTTAAAATTGTCAGATGTAAAAGTTGGCATATTGTTAATGGACAGGATGATTACCCACTTTATCCCTTATCGTAACTCCTCTGAATCAAAAGGATTTAACCATTGTCTATAAATACAGGAAAACATCAGAAAGAACTTAAAATGACCTGAATCATTCCTACCATTGAAGCAAAATAGCAAATGTCTATTAGAATTGACCTTCACCGATACAGACAGACGGTGGCTTTGACACTAAAGCTACGAGTATGCTTGAGCTTTTATGTACTGTATTACGGACCATTTTGCTTTTTTGTATGACAATTTTGCTTTTATGTATAACGACAATTTTGCTTTTATGTATAACGACACTTTGTCTTGTATGTATAAGGACAATTTTGCTTTTATGTATAACGACACTTTGTCTTGTATGTATAACGGACCATTTGACCACACAAACCACAGGACCCTACATTCATTCGAGGAAACCTGTGACAGAGGGGCCCGATGGAGACAGACTTGTGACAGAGGCACGTGACAGGGAAGGTTCACTAATACCCGTGACCGATGCACCTGGAAGGGAAGGTGCGTTAATACCTGTGACGGCGGTACCCGATACAGAACGAACGACGAGACCATTTACGGGTGAACAGGATGGTGAAGACAGGCTGAGACCTGTGACGGAAGAAACAGATGTAGATAACAGGCTGAGACCCGTAGCAGAGGTACCAGAAGATGAGGACAGGCCAAGACCTGTGACGGAGAGACCGGAAGGAGAGGATAGGCCAAGACCTGTGACGGAGAGACCGGAAGGAGAGGACAGGCTGAGACCGGATGGAGTGGACAGGCCAAGACCTGTGACGGAGAGACCGGAAGGAGAGGATAGGCCAAGACCTGTGACGGAGAGACCGGAAGGAGAGGACAGGCTGAGACCTGTGACGGAGGCACCGGAAGGAGAGGACAGGCTGAGACCGGAAGGAGAGGACAGGCTGAGACCTGTGACGGAGAGACCGGAAGGAGAGGACAGGCTGAGACCGGATGGAGTGGACAGGCCAAGACCTGTGACGGAGAGACCGGAAGGAGAGGATAGGCCAAGACCTGTGACGGAGAGACCGGAAGGAG